TGAAGCTCACTAACTTTTTGTTGCTATAAAAAGGTTTTATGTTAATATGTAGTGGCAAGACAGCTGACCTAGGAATGAGAAGACCTATGTTCTAATTATGGTCCTAAGACTAATTTTTTTTCTCGGATTTATAAATAAGTCACTAGGACTTTCTGATAACCTTCTTTTTCTGATCATAAAAATGCATTAGACTTAAATGATCAAACAAAATGGCATAGATTTGTTTCTCCTTGCTAAGTATAACTATAAAACGTAGAAATGACACAAAAAACAATCAGAAGAACTCTGAAAAGTAGAAAGAGGGAGACAGTTTAATCAGAGTCCCAGAAGTGTGGACCAACACAGCAGCAGTGTGTTTTAAATACTACCTCACAGAAGAAGAAAACTCAGGCCTAGTGTTTGTTGACCTCCAACCTAGTGACAGAAGGTGGCCCAGGGTAAGCTCATGCCTCCCCTAGATTGAGTGATACTCCTGCCATCAATAGTAGGCATACCAAGCAATGGCAAAATTGGAGGCCCTCCTGATAATAAGTGGCCACCATGGAGGTACCATCCCTTCCATGAAGAGGGTAGGATGGAAATAGCAAAAGGGATCATATCTCAGTCATCCTGGCCTGGGAAACAATCATTATCTACAAAGGCCAGATGCTCCCATCCCCTCGTAGAGGCACCTGGTGCTTGGCCACAGGAAACTCCTCCCACCTCTCTACGCAGCACCGGCTAAGACCCTAGGAAATTCCCATCTCGGTATATTAGAAAAAGAAAAGGAAAATTAACTCAGAGCAAACAGAAGAAAGGAAATAATAAAGATGAGAGCATAAGTCAATGAAATTGAAAATATGAAAGTAGAGAAGATAAAACAAAAAGCTGTTCTTTGGGGAAAAAAGGCAATTAAACTTATAAAACTTTAGCAGAACTAAGAATAATAGAAGAGAAATTGACACTTAAAGCAATAATATATTCATTTTTACACACTAATGACATATAGGAAATAAAGTTAAAAATCAGTACCTTAAAGCAGACATGAAGGTGCATGCCTATAATTCTAGTATTTGGGAGATAGGAAGGAGAGTACAGAGTTCAAAGCTACATAGACTTTGAATCAGAAATGTAACAAAAATAATTTGCAGTCACTCCAAAGAAAATTAAATATTTAGATATAATCTTAACATAAGGATCTATGTGTTAGAAATTTAAAAATAGTGATGAAAGAAATCAGACTCCCCAAATTGACTTATAGGTTTAATACTTTTTTTTTTTTTTTGAGACAGAGTCTTACTATGTAGCCCAGGATGGCCTTACCCTCCTGAGTACTGGGATTATAGGTACGCACCACTATGCCTGACAATACATTTCTCATCAACACCAATGAAGGATTTTTGTAGGCACAGACAAGCTTATTCTAAAATTTACATGGGTGGGAGTGGTAAGATGCATGAGTGAGGGTCATGGGTTTGAATCCCAGCAGGAATTACTCTACATATTAAGGCCTATCATGTAACTCCAGTAATCAAAACATTATGGTATTGGCCAAGGAATAAGTAAGTTATTACATAAGTAAATTGAACTAAATAAAGAATCCAGAAAAACGGAACCAAATGCAGCAGGTCATGCCTGTAATTCTAGCTACTCAGGAAGTTGAGGCTAGCCGGCACAAAGTTAATGGGACTCCATCTCAACTAATAGCTGAGTGCGTGGCACATGCCTGTCATCCCAGCTGCCTCAGGAAGCACAAACAGGAATATCACCATCCACGACAACCTGGGCAAAAAAGCAAGACCTTATCTCAGAAATAACTAGGATAAAAAGGGCTGGGAGCATGGTTCAACTGATAGAGCACCCTCCTAGCAAACACAAAGCCCTGAGTTCACACCCCAGTATTGCCCCCCCAATTTTTTTTTTAAATCCAGAAATCAGCTGGGCACCAGTGGCTCAAGCCTGCAATCTTAGCAGGAAGCAGAGATCATGAGGATCATGGTTTGAAGTCATCCGAGGCAAATAATTTGCAAGACCCTATCTTGAAAAAAACCCAAAACAAAAAATGTCTGGTGAAGTGGCTCAGGGTGTAGGTCCTGAGTTCAAACCTCAGTATCACACGCAAAAAAAAGAAAATCCAGAGATGGACCTATGTAAATATGCCCAATTGATACCTTGCCAAAGTACAAAAGACTCCTCAATAAGGGCAAGCTGTTGTTTCCCACAAATAATGCTAGAATATTAGATCAAGAGAAAATTTAACGCAGCCAGGCATAGTGGTTCACATCTGTAATTCCAGCTATTCAGGAGGCAGGGGCAGGAAGACTGCAAGTTTGAGGTCAGCCTAAGTGAAGGTAGTACTGAGACCCTCTCTCGAAAACAAAAGCAAAAGACGGTGTAACTCAAATGGTAGGGTGCTTGCTTAGCATGCATACGACCCTAGTATTGCAAAAAGGAAAATTAATCTAGACCTCATGCTTTACACACACACACACACACACACACACACAAAATCCTCAAGCTTAAGTATAAAACTGTAAACCATGTAGGGGAAAAAAGTACAAAGTTCTGGAAGTTAAGCTAAACACAGAGCTCTTAGACTTGATACCAAAAGCATGGACCTTGTTAAAAATTACCTTTTTTTAATTTTTTAAAACCAAGGGCCTCCTCATGCCATGCAGGTTCTCTACTGCTGAGCTATATACCCAGCCCAAAATTAAGAACCTTTGCCCTGAGAGAAGCTTAAAGAGACAAGATAGAGACTGGGAGAAAATATTTTCAATCCATATTTTTCACCAAAGGTCTGGTACCTCAAATATAAAGGAAAAAAAATCTTGAAACTAAACAGTTACCAAAAAAAAAATAAAAATAAAACTGATTAGAAGGGACAAAAGACATGAAAGCACATTTCACTAAAGGATTTAAGATGGCAGAGAAGCACTTGAAAAGATGTTTAGCATCATTAGCTATTGAGAAAATACAAATCCAAACTATAATGCAATATCACTACACCTATCAGAATAGCTAAAATTAAAAATAGTGACAGCACATGCAATGATGTAGAGGCACTAGATGATTCACACAGTGCTTGAAGGTCTGTAAGAAGCGCAGCCACTCTGGAAAACAGTCTGGCAATTTCCTGCTCAAGTACATATGCTGCTACCATGTGACTCAGTAACTGTACTCTTAGACATTTAATCCAGAGAAATGAAAATTTATGTTTATACAAAGTCTATGTATGAATGTCCATAGCAGCTTTATTCATAATAGCCCAAAACTGGAAATGCCTCAATTCCTTAGATGTGTGAATAGTTACACAGGTACCAACTACTGATTTAAGCAACGACTTGGATGACTCTACAGACTCTGACCCAGAGAAGTCAATCTTGCAAGGTTACATACTCTATGATTCCACTTGTATGACTATCTTGAAATGACAAAATTATAGAAATGGAGAACATCTAGTGATTGCCAGGAGTCAGAATCAGAAGAGGACCAAAGGAGGTGGATGAGGCTATAAAAAGACACCAGGGATCCATGACCTGAGAATGTTCTGTATCTTGATCAGTCAGTGTGAGTATCCCAGTTGTGATAATACACTATAGTTATATAAAATTCTATATTTGGAGAAAACAGAGGACACTGAAATCTCTTTTTTTTTTTCCAACTACTGGGATTTGAACTCAAGGCCTCACGCTTGCAAGGCTCTACCACTTGAGCCACTCCGCCAGCCTTTTTTTTATGTTGGGTATTTTTGAGATAGGGTCTTGTGAACTATTTGCCCAAGGTGGCTTTGACCCATGATCCTCCTGACCTCTGCCTTCTGAGTAGCTAGGATTACAGACATGAGCCACTGGTGCCTGGCTTATAAGTTTATTTAAAAAAAAAAAAAAAAGCATAGTGATATCCACCTTTCCTGCACCAGAGAGTTATTTTAAGTATCAAAGGAAATGTAAGTTAGGACAAGCTGTGAGGGTCCCATGGCACATGGTAGCAGTACACATGATAACAAAAAGTCTTTCTTGTCCATGTGTTTGTTTTGACTTGTATCTTCAGTATATCTTCAGTATTTCTACCTACTTTATCTAAAAAAAAAAAGTCTTTACAGTAGCTCTTACATACTGTCATCTTTAATAATGAAAAGGTCATTTATCTTGCAACAAATATTTCTTGAAGGCTTTTCTTGTACTGATCACTATACTGGGAATAAAAAAAAGATGGTAAAAGACATGTGATTCAGCCCAATTCATATCACATGTAAACAGTTGATCTGGGGTTGGATGTAGACCTATTTTTTAATGAAAACTTTATTTTTACTGTAACAATTTTTATTCTGTATTTTAAGATTCAGAAATAGACTCAAATGATTCTGGTCTTTGGTTAGTCAGTGAACTAGTTTTCAATAATTAATATTTTTGTATCAGTTTAGAATGCATCTTACAATTAATATTGGTTGAATCTTAGTTTAATTGGCAGTCTTTTTTCCTCCTTGATAATAAATAATAGTGCATCCTAGGTACAGTGGCATCCTAGGCTCAATGAGACCTAGTAATGTCTAAAACCAACTACATTTTGCCAAGTTTTTGTGTGTCTGTGCGTGTGCGTGTGTGTGTGTGTTGTACTGGGGATTGAACTCAGGACCACCAAGCTACATCCCCGCCATTTTTCATGTATATTTTGAAACAGAGTCTCACTAAGTTAACTAGGTTGGCCTTGAACTCTCAAACTTGCTATCTACCTGCCTCAGCTTCCTGATTAGCTGGGATTAGAGGCATGAGTCTCCACGCCCATCTTATTTTTTGCAATTTTCACCTGTCCTGATTTTAACGAGGGCAGGGGGAGGTCTTTGTTCTGTTTTTTGTTTGTTTATTTGGTTTTTTTTTTTTTTCTCTTCAGAGGAATTATTATTAATTTAGGGTTCTAATGATAAATGCAGTAATATTCTTTGGTAAGAATATCTATTTATATATATTCAGATGTTAAAATCTCACTTCCCTTCATCTTTTTTTCCTTTGTTTTTCAAGTGTCAATATATAGTATCTGGTTTTATGACAAGAATGACTGTCACCGCATAGCAAAACTCATGGACTGAGTAAGTATTTACTATTACATAGGTTTAATTAATGATAAATGTGTCCTACTTCTCTTTATTACTAAAGTCTACTAATTCATTTAACCCTCCTGATTTCCTTTTTATTGCCAAAAATTCAAATAAGGCAGGAGAACTTTAAAAAAAACTAAAATTATCTATGATCCTACTGCTCCCAAGTGTTTCCAAATATCTGTTTCCTTCCAGTCTTTTTCTTTGTGTGTACATTAGGTTCATAGGTGTAATTGTTTTTTATAAAAATAAGGGCATGCTATATATCCTGCTTTTAGTGTCAACAGCATTTTTTCAGGGCATTAAATTTTTTCTCTGTATATGTATAATAACTGCATTGAATCAAATACTATAGGAACTTTATAACTTAATCAGAACTTTACTGTAGGTTAGAGCTACCAAACTGCTTAGCTCCAGAGGATATCACTTACCTCCATTGCACAGCCTTACAGCCAAATGCAGTGGCTATCCAAATTTCCAGTGTTGACAAATGGTACTGTATTCAGTAGCCTGATAGAGAACTCCCGCACACATCCATGTTTGATTCCTTTAAGAGAACTTGTTTTTGACACAGACTAGGTTTAGCACACCTCAGTTCACTAACAGATTGTCTTCCAGAAAATATTTTTAACTTAGAATCTTGAAATTTAGATAATTTTCACTTAATGTTCTAAAGGGTGCTTCATCCTTTCTCAAGCTAGCCTTTGGAAACTGTCCTTTATATGGCCTATCATTATAACTGGACTACCACTGTGGATTCTGAAAGTCCAAGAAACTGGTGCTGGAGGGGCATGAGGGGCTACAGAGTTTAGGTGAAATGTTGCAGTAGGTGATATGTTTCTGCTTCCTTTTCAATTTTTGCCTGAATCATCTATGGACCTCCCTTCCCTATCTATCAGATCAAAATTCCCCTGCTCTTCTGCAGGGTTTATATCTACATGTTTGGAAGAAAACAGTCTAACTTTTTTAACAGTCTAATTTTTTAATTAATTCTCCTAAAAGGACAAATAAATAGCTATCCCCAAGACTTCAGTTCCAGATATATTTACATTTTTTTTTAAAGGTACACATAGTTAAAGCCAAATTATATTCCAGAACTAACTGATTGGATGTTTATCAGCCTCCTGCTTATCATCTGTTGTGGCTGTGAGCTTGCAAGATAGGCCCATATTTATTACTAGGTGAACCCCAGAGGGCATTGCTCCCTGGAAACTTGTAGTCACTCTTATTATAAGCACATTTCCTTTTTAGAACACTTTATATATAAAAAAGATAAAATTATTTTTCAACTAAGGCGTTCATTTAATTTATAAAGAACAAAAGTATATTCAGCTCAAAGGTGTCCAGGAGCACAGGGCAACTCTTAACTGTATCAAAGCATGATGGAGGGCATCAATGACAAAGCAAGCATGCTAGCTTAGCTCTATATTTCTTATAAAGCCACTAATGCCATCTTGAAGCACTTCACCTCTTGTCCTAGCAAAGGCATTTATTTCATTGAGTTTTTGTTGTTGGAGGTGGGAGGGGAGGTGCTGGGTCTTTTGTTTGTTTATTTGTGTGTTTGTTTTGTTCTGGGAATTGAAACTAGTGCCCCTCAAATGCTAAGCCCACATTCCACCACTGACCTATACACCCAGCCCATGATCACTTTTTTTAGTTTTGAAAGTGACAGTGAAAACAGACTTCTCCAATACAATTACAAGCAATATTATGGAAAACAGGTCACTCTAAAAAAGGGAGTGGGGGGGTCACATATGAGACAGGGAGGGTAAATGAAGGAAGTTGAAGATGAATATAGTTGATGTACTTCTTATAAGAATGAATATAGAATTTTTAAACCTGTTGAAATCACCATAAGGGGACTTAGGAGGAAGGGAGAAAAATAGAGGGGATGAATCAATTCAGGTTATAATACATATGTACATGGAAATGTCACAGTGAAACACCTTGCATAGCATCTTAAACAAAATTTGGGGTGGGGGTTGTTTGTTTTTTGTTTTTTAACAAAAATGTGAAGGCAAAATAGGTCTGTCTGGGGGGTTGGTACCAGTGGGAGGGTGGAGAATATAAGGAAGGGTGTAGAAGAGTGAATATAGTAGGGAGGAGGGAAGGAAAGATGGATGGAAGGATGAATTCCTTTTCTGGTTCCTTAGCAGACTTTTTTTTTTTTCCTTTTTAGTGGTACTCTAAATGCAAGACTTCAGGTGGTATATTAAGCTAAAGACTGAAGGCCTATCTGAAAATATTGTTTTGAACCCTTCCATACTACCTTTGCCAGCTTTTACTTTCAGTAGTGGTGATCTTCCTGAGGTTTCCAGTTTCCTAGGTTGACAGTGGTGACTGTTAGAAATTTTCTTCTTTTGAATCAAAATCACAGATCAGTTATTTTTTGTATTGGGTATTTCCAAGATAGGCTCTTGCAAACTATTTGCCCAGGCTCTCTTTAAACCTTGATCCTCCTGATCTCTGCCTCCTGAGTAGCTATTATTATATACATGAGCCACCAGTGCCCAGCTTCTAGTAAAGTTTTTAATGTACCAACTTCTACCACCTATATGAAGAAATTCTGCATTTTTGTCCACTTAAAGGTGAAATATATTCATTGGCACTGTTGTGAATGAGATGGTGAAATGGTAAATCATGTATCTCTGGAATAAGGTAACCAGGAGTGAGTATTACCTATTGTAAGAACAGTATCATATGACTATTACTTTGTCCAAAAGAGTTTTGGGGTCAGATAGTGCAAAAGACCTTTCTAAAACCTGGTTCTCCTCCTCTAGCGTGGTAGAAGAGGAGACACGGCGATCCCAGCAAGCTGCTCGAGATAAACAGAGTCCCAGCCAGGCCAATGGCTGCAGCGAACAGAGGCCCATCGACATTCTAGAGATGCTGAGCAGAGCCAAGGATGAGTACGAGAGGGTGAGGCTCTCTGGGTACTGGACACAACACCAGAAGAGGGAGATGAGGCTTGTAGGAGTCTAGTAGATTGAGGAAGTCACCTCCAGGGCCAGCAGTAATCATTAGTTCAAAAAGAAAGCAGGTCTATAATTTCAAGCCTAAAAGATCTAGGAAAATCTGCTCACCTGAGAGTGCTTGCTTAGGAAAGAAAATTTAGAATGCTCTTTTTTTACTCCTACCATCAGTGTAAAATTACCATGGGAGAAAATGATTTTTGAGGGTAGAAGTCAGCCCACAACAGATATTTCTGGAAAAGCTTTTGGGCTTCTTCACCCCTGTAATTTCTGTTAGTGTGCTGAATAATCTTGTATGTAGATTTTGGAAAGTATTCTGATAATTTGTACCCCATAACTTTAAAAGGCACATTCCTGATCTCTAATTGGTGATAGGCGTACAACCCTCATTCATTAAGCATCATTTGGAATTTTACCCAAATGTGAGTGAGTCTTTTCTGAAATTCGCTGTTTTCTTTCTCTTCCATTTTCCATTTACCTTGTAACTTAACTGATAAAACTTTTTCCCAGTCATTAAATAAAGTGAAAGTTGTGGTACATTATTCAATTTATTCAACTCATGTTCTTGAATCATTCACTATGTGTCAAACAGTGGGTGCTTCCTGACAGTGTCTCAAACCTTATGGCAGTGGGTCGGTACTGGTTTTTCCTTGACATCAGAACTTCTAGGCCTCATACTTCATTTGAGTGAGACCAAAGTTTTCTACTGTTGTACTTTGTTTCAGCAGAATTACAGTTGTTACCTTATTCTTCATTTCTGTTTCATCTTTACCTCACCAAAACTTCAAGGGTCAAAATGTGAAAGTACTGTCTAGCTGGAGTTATAGTTCAGTGATAATAGTTCTTGCCTACCAAGGCTGTGAGTTTGATCCCAACACCCACCATCTAAAACCATGTTTCCTAGTTATTAATAGATAATCCTTTGTGGGGGGAGTTCAAACAGGTCAGAAGAATTCAGGAAATACTGTTAGATGTCTTGTTCCTTGAATCCTCTTAGGCCTTTTACAGTCCTTAATTCTGAGACATTCCACAATAAATGATACAGTGACAAGAGTTCCTATATCAGTTTGACTACAAAACCATTTTTCACATACTACCCTTTAATTGCTCAGGAATCTGGAATTCAGGAAACAAAGTTTGGAAAAAGTGTACTGGATGGTAGTTTCCTCTAACTAAAGATGAAGAGTCAAGCTGGAAATGGTAGTGTATAGCTATAATCCCAGCACTCTAGATACTGGGGCAAGAGGATCACCAGTTAAGAGGCCTATTTGGGCTGTACAACTAGACCCTTTCTCAAAAAAAAAAAAAAAAAAGGAAAGAAAAAATAAGTCATATTGATCATAAAGTACAATAAACCTATGTCCAAATACCAACAGCAGTCCAACCTCCTGGATGTAGAAATGCTTCATTAGAGCCCATGAGGTATTCCAAGTTGTAATAAAATTCTTCAGTGTCTCAGAGAAATAGGAACAATTTGTGTATCTGTAGAAATTGTATATTGGAAAAGTATTCATCTCTGTAATGAATTCCTTGATTCTTAGGAAAAAGAATAAATTTCAAAACTCATTGTTTTTAATATAAACATTACCTTATATCCCCCAAATGCCCTCTCATATTCTTAATGAGATCTGAGTTACCTGCATAGATACCTTACCCTATTTTTTAAGGCCTTTCTATGTTCCCGTAAGTAGGTAATAAGTCACTGTCCCAGTGATGACTCAAGAGTGCTCACAAGATAGAAACTGTCGTTATTGCACACTAGGGCAACTACTCCGGGAAGTAGCCTGGCTTACTCCTTTAGCTGTGTAGCCACAAAAGGAAAACAGAAAGTAAGACCTTACTATTGTCCTTTTTAAAAAAAAATTTCTAGTGCTTGGTATAGAACCCAGGACTTTTCACATCCTGACAAGTGCTCTTCCAATGAGCTGCACCCCCAGCACCAAGATCTTATTTTTGTGCACAAAGCTTTAAGGGAATTCTAGTGTCAAGTGGGCAGTTTAAAAATCTGGAATGATTTCTAGTTTCATAAATATTAGAAAAATCTGGAAGATTTCTAGTTTCATAAATATTAGAAAAGTAAAGTATATGGAGAACATAGCATTTCTGTTGTAAAGAAATTTCTTCTATAGTATAGAATAAGTAAATGTTGTCTAAGATTAAAATGGAACTTTTGGGGATTTAGCTAAATCTTTAACATTTCTGTCATATTCCTTCTGTTTTTGAAGACTGTAATAGGTATTACTTCCTTAAATAAGAGTTTTGTTTTCTGGTCTGCATTTGCCTAGCATGTAACCAAATGGAGTTGGTCTGGTATTGTCTCTGACCTTTGAATCCATCTTAGTATTTGGATGGACTGTCCCCAGTGGCCACATGGCTTAGCATGGTCCCTCTTTTTATCTTTGGTAGAGACTTGGGGGATTGTTAGAGTCAAGGGCAGGGATATAAGCCAGGCTTCAGCTGTGGGATTTAATCCCAACTCTAAATCTCACCTGTCCAGTGTATATAGGATTTAAAAACAGATGTTTGGTTAGTTGGTTGGTTTATGGCACGGTCTGACTGTGTACCCCAAACTGGCCTCAAACTCATGATCCTCCTGCCTCAGCTTCCTGAATGCCAGGATTACAGACATGTCACCACATCCAGCACAAGTTCAGCCTGTTCTTTTGGTTTTGTTTTTTTCATTGTACTAGAGAAGTCCAGATGTTTAAGTGGGGTATTCTACATAAAAGTCCTATAATGTCTTTTAACCAACTTTTCAGCTTTTCATGTAATAAAAAGTAGTTGAAACCACAGTCTTCTGTAGTTGACCCGTTTTTGAGTTGCTCTACTAGCTCTTCCTCAATTTTGGTGGGGATTTTTTTGTTTTGTTTTGCTTTAGTTTAATTGCAAAAAAATAAGTTTCTTTAAGGACAGATTTGTTGTTGTTGTCCTTACAAAAGTACACATTAAAGGCATGGACTAAGTGGTAGAGTTGCCCAGCATACACAGGGCCCTTGGTTCAATACCCAGTACTGAGGAAAAGGGGGGAGAGGGGAAATACCATTATTTTTCTTGTTATATAAGCAGTATATATTATTATAGAAAATTTATGCTTAAAAACTAAACACAATTGGACTGGCAGAGTGGCTCAAATGGTAGAGCGCCTGCCTAGCAAGCATGAGGCCCTGAGTTCAAACCCCATTATCAACAAAAACAAAACAAAAAAAAGGTAAACACAAAGAGCTGGAGGAAGAGTTGCTCAATGGTAGAGCACTTACCCAGCATGTACAAGGCCCTGAATTCAATCTCCTGCTACAAAAGTAAAATAAAATAAAAAGAAGACAATACTATGATTCTGCCAACTAGAAATAATCATTGCTAATACTTTGTTTATGTATCCTTCCAAAACTGTGTCCAAATATATATGGTATGTTTATGTACATTACTTTTATCAAAAATCCTTTTGTAACTGGTTCTTTCCCAAAGATCTGCCTTTTTGGTTAACAGTAATCATCTCACAGGAAGTCTCTGTGAGATTTCATTTGGTAAAGTGAGTTTTTTTTAAAAACTGCTATGATACTGATACCTGTATATTTCTCCTTCTATGCTTTATACAAACAATGCCTAATTTTCTTTATTAAGAACTCAACACTATAACCTTAGAGGTAAGTCTTTATATATAGCATTAATTTTTTTTCCTAAGATAAATTAGTTGGAATTGGTAGATAAAAGAATTTGGGAAGTTTAAAATGTTTTTAACCAAACATTGTAAAATTACCCTCCAGCTCCAGCAAGTTTGTCTTTGATTATGAATATCCCTCTCAATCTTATAAACACAGGATCTTTTTTTTTTTTTTTTTTTTTGATGGTACTGCAGATTGAATTCAGGGCCCTGCATTTGTTAGGCAAGCACTCTGACACTTGAGACACTCCCCAGTCCTTTTAGTTTTGGTTTTCAGATAGGATGATCACTTCTGTCCAAGCCGTCCTCCAACCATGATCCTCCTACCTCTCTCTCAAGTAACTGATTATAGGCCACTGTTCTCCACACTTTTGATGCCATTACTAACACACATAAAGTAAACCTTCAGCAAAGACCCTACACAAGCATCAAAACTACCTGAGATTAAGAATTTTTATTAAAAAAAAAAAATTTTATTAAGTAATACTATGACAACATAACCCATCCTGTAGCTTATATTTAAGTATTACAAACTCAAATGCCACAAAGAGTAGATCATGGTAGTGTGAAAACAGGCCAGAATGGAACTGAGACCTACTAAGAGCCTGTTCGGTTCACTGGGTAAAAGGGTTGTTAGAGCTCAGCCCCAGCTAGTGCTTGCAGATGACCTAGTAGTACCAAATCATTCTCTCTGAAAATGACAAGTCTGGATTTTACAAGGAAACTCCCAACTTTTTTAATGTTTTTGAACATTATATCATCTATTTTAAGAACTTGTTATGAACAATATTTTGAGTTTATATTTTCTCTTAAAAGAATTCAATTCCAAGCATTCTCCATAATGGGGCTGATACTGCTCAAAGAGGTATGTTAGAGTATTAAGATATTTCATAGGCTAATTTGCCCTAGTTTAAATGAGTAACAGTGGGTAAATGGGGTTCCAGAATAATATATTAAGTCACATGAGTAGAAAAAAATACATATTATGCATTCATTTAACATTTAAGTATTATTCCTGTGCTAAGTGTGTGTCTTTATTGTATGTTATCAAAATTATGCTGTCTCTGAACTGAAGTTTGGAACTTTTTTAAAAAGCTATTTTGAGATGGACAGTGCTTACTAGTTGCTAAATCAGATAGCCCGGATATAATTTAGGTTTCCAAAAATTCATGATTCCATGTTCATCTAATGATGATTTTTGAAGTTTCTTTTTAAGATCAAAAGCATTTTCACTTTTAGTGTCATATGTAAGTTAAATTTTTAAAGAGTGTTGAAATAATTGGATACTTCCAGAAAAAAATGAACCTCAACCTAAATGTAACATGTTATCAAAAATCAGCTCAAACTGGGTCATAGATCTAAATGTAAAATACAAAAGTATGAGCCAGGTGTGGTGGCTCATGCCTGTAATCCTATCTTCTTTTAGGCGGTAGAGATGGAGAAGAATCACAGTTCTAAGCCAGCCCAAGCAAAAAGTTAGCAAGTAAGACCTCATCTCAATAAGGTGGAAGTGGTGGTGCACACCTGTTGTCCCAGCTATGTGGGAAGCTGCTAGGTAGGAGGAGCACAGTCTGAAGTTGGCCCCAGAGAGAAATTCTAGACCTCACCTTAAAAATAAAGCAAAAAAAAAAGGACTAGGGGTGTGGTAGAATACCTGCCTAATAAGTGCAAGGTCCTCAGTTCACACCCCCAATATCACCTCCCCAAAATAAGTAAATGTAAAACTGTGAAACTTTTAGAACAAAAATATATTTGCCATATGACCCAGAAATACTTTCAAGAGGTAATTTACTTTGGAAGAATGGAACTTTTGTGTACACAAACCCTCTTTCTTGTGGGGCTGGGGTTTGAACTCAGGGCTTCATGGTTGCAAAGCAAGCTCTCTACTGTTTGAGCCATACCTCCAGTATATTTTGCTCTGGTTATTTTGGAGATGGGGGTCTTGCAAACTGTTTGCCTAGATTGGCTGGCCTTGAACCATGATCCTCCCAATCTCAGCCTCCCAAATAACTAGGATTACAACCGTGAGCCACCAGTCCCCAGCTACACAAGACTTTTTAGAACTATATTCTTAATCAAAAACTTAATGTAACTCAAATGTGTTCTTTGACTGGATGGTTAGGCTATAATATATTCATATAATGGAATAGTATTCAGCAATAAAAAGGAATGAATCATTAATACCCTGTGACACTTTGGATGGATCACAGGGGCATACTCTAAATGAAAGAAGCTAGCATTCTGCTTATATTCTACTTATATGACATTTTTGAAAAGACAAAGCTATGGTGACAGAATACCACTGGTTGCAAGAATGGTCAGAGTATATAGCTACAATGGGACATCACAAGGGAGCTTTTTGTGATGGTGGAACTATTTTGTATCCTGACTCTGTGGAGTTGGAATGCACAAATAGAACTGTATACCCCCAAAACAATTAATTCCATCATATGTTAGCTTAAAAACATAAAATACAAGAGCCATTGGCTTTTCCTTAAAAAGGAGTAGTGATAAAAAGTAACAACTGTAACAGTTGTGGCTAATGTCTAAAAGTATATGTTCAGTTTTATAGAAATTTTATTATATGGTATTTATATGAAAGTTCAGAGGAGGCATTTTTTAGGGATTTTCTTTTTGCCTATTTTTTTATCCTATTTCTGATAACTTGAAATGGTGTTTATGAGCCAAATTATAGGTGACAGACTTTTTTCAAATGATACGTTTTTCTTACAATTTTTTTCAAGAATCAGATGGCTGACTCAAATATCTCCAGCCCTGGGTTACAGCCAAGCACTCAGCTCTCCAATCTGGGAAGCACTGAGACTCTAGAAGAGATACCCGCTGGGTCACAAGATAAGGTTGGTACAGTTAAACCCCTAACTTTGTCCACAGTAACAAAACAAAGAGTAACATTTTATTAGAATTTTAATTGTTCCAAGTTTGTGTCACTTATCTGTCAAAGGCATACTAATATTTATCCAGGTCATTTCCTGTGCCCATGTAACTATTTCATCTATAGTTTGCTTCCTATCTGGTCTTCCACCTTTTGCCCTTGCTGCTGCCTGCTGTACTCTCAACCCAGCAGCCAGAGTAAACTTGGTTTAAAAAAAAAAAAGTTTAATTTCTCTGCCTAAAGCCCTCCAGTGGTATCCTGTCTCTCTCAAATAAAAGGCAGGGTCCTAACAATGGCCCACAAGGCCCTACCTGATCTGGCCTCTCTACCTATGACTTCATCTTCTGCTACTCTTCCTTACTTACTTACCCCCAACTTCTTTTTTTTTTTTTTCATTTTTCTTTTATTATTCATATGTGCATACAAGGCTTGGGTCATTTCTCCCCCGTGCCCCCACCCCCTCTCTTACCACCCACTCCGCCCCCTCCCCCCCCCAATACCCAGCAGAAACTATTTTGCCCTTATTTCTAATTTTGTTGTAGAGAGAGTATAAGCAATAATAGGAAGGAACAAGGGCTTTTGCTGGTTGAGATAAGGATAGCTATACAGGGCATTGACTCACATTGATTTCCTGTGCGTGGGTGTTACCTTCTAGGTTAATTCTTTTTGATCTACCCTTTTCTCTTGTACCTGTTCCCCTTTTCCTATTGGCCTCAGTTGCTTTAAGGTATCTGCTTTAGTTTCTCTGCATTAAGGGCAACAAATGCTAGCTAGTTTTTTAGGTGTCTTACCTATCCTCACCCCTCCCTTGTGTGCTCTCGCTTTTATCATGTGCTCATAGTCCAATCCCCTTGTTGTGTTTGCCCTTGATCTAATGTCCACATATGAGGGAGAACATACGATTTTTGGTCTTTTGGGCCAGGCTAACCTCACTCAGAATGATGTTCTCCAATTCCATCCATTTACCAGCGAATGATAACATTTCGTTCTTCTTCATGGCTGCATAAAATTCCATTGTGTATAGATACCACATTTTCTTAATCCATTCGTCAGTGGTGGGGCATCTTGGCTGTTTCCATAACTTGGCTATTGTGAATAGTGCCGCAATAAACATGGATGTGCAGGTGCCTCTGGAGTAACAGTCTTTTGGGTATATCCCCAAGAGTGGTATTGCTGGATCAAATGGTAGATCGATGTCCAGCTTTTTAAGTAGCCTCCAAATTTTTTTCCAGAGTGGTTGTACTAGTCTCATTCCCACCAACAGTGTAAGAGGGTTCCTTTTTCCCCGCATCCTCGCCAACACCTGTTGTGGTGGTGTTGCTGATGATGGCTATTCTAACAGGGGTGAGGTGGAATCTTAGCCTGGTTTTAATTTGCATTTCCTTTATTGCTAGAGATGGTGAGCATTTTTTCATGTGTTTTCTGGCCATTTGAATTTCTTCTTTTGAGAAAGTTGTGTTTAGTTCACGTGCCCATTTCTTTATTGGTTCATTAGTTTTGGGAGAATTTAGTTTTTTAAGTTCCCTGTATATTCTGGTTATCAGTCCTTTGTCTGATGTATAGTTGGCAAATATTTTCTCCCACTCTGTGGGTGTTCTCTTCAGTTTAGAGACCTTTTCTTTTGATGAACAGAAGCTTTTTAGTTTTATGAGGTCCCATTTATCTATGCTATCTCTTAGTTGCTGTGCTGCTGGGTTTCATTGAGAAAGTTCTTACCTATACCTACTAACTCCAGAGTATTTCCTACTCTTTCTTGTATCAACTTAAGAGTTTGGGGTCTGATATTAAGATCCTTGATCCATTTTGAGTTAATCTTGGTGTAGGGTAGCCCCAACTTCTTTAGCTCTCTTGCTTTTCCTCAGATGTGCCAGGCATGCACCTAACTCAAAACCAGTCTTTGTTCTTGTTCCTTCTTTTTTTTTTTTTTTAATTTTTGTCATAGTGGGTTTGAACTCGGGGCCTTGTGCTTGCTCTACCACTTGAGTCACTCCTTCAGTCCATTCTCTATCCTATTTAAAACCCTCCCCATTCTCCATCCTCCTGCTTGCTTTATTTTCTCAGTAGACATGGTTTGTTTCTCCTTATTTAGGTCTGTCTCATGCCAACCAAAATATAAACTCCATGGAGGCAGCAGTTTTGGGGGGTGAAGGGGTAGACTGGGGTTTGAACTCAGGGTTTCACACTTGCAAAGCAGGCTCTCTACTGTTTGAGCCATACCTCCAGTCAGTTTTGCTCTGGTTATTTTGAAGATGGAGTCTTGCATTCTGTTTGCCCGGACTGGCCTTGAACCTCAAAGCTCTTTATCTCAGCCTCCCAAGTACCTAGGATCACAAATGTGAGCCATGTTCGGTGCTGTATTTTTAGCATCTAACATTGTTAATATCTGATAAATTAATTCGTTCTTTTCGTAATCTCTCTGATGTAAAAACAGATGTCAAGTCAAACCCATAGTTTTTAATTAAACTTTTTAATTTGAAACAACTACAGATTTGCAGTTATAAGAAATAATAAGAAAAAGCCTATGTACCCATTCCCTATGTCCCCATTGATAACATTTTATAAAATACAGTATAATATTTCCAGACACAGTCCACACCATCTTGTTTATATTTCCTCAGTTTTATTTGTACTGTGTGTGTGTGTGTTCAGTTCTATGTAGTTCTGTCTCTTCTATAGCTTTGTGTATCCACCACCACAGGCAAGATGCAGACTATCTCCATCACAAGGATCCTTTGTGTTACCCTTTAATAATCATACCGATTTCCCTGGCATACCCTCTCTGCCTCCCCCCTTACCTTTATTTTTAACGCCTAGCAACCGCTAATCTGTTTTCTAGTTGTATAGTGTCGTTTCAAGAACGTTACACAAATGCAATCAAACAATATGTAACCTTTTGAGATCCTGTCTTCACTCGGCATAATTCAGTGAAGTTGTTGTATGTGACAAGTTTGTTCCCTTTTTCTCTGCAACCCCCCTCTCTCCATGTTGGAGATTAAATCCAGAGCTTCGTACATACTAAACAAGTGCTGTACTACTAAGCTAAGTCCTTAGACCAAGTTTCTTTCCTTTTATTGCTCAGGAGTATTAGATGATATGGAAGTATAGGTTGAGTATCCTTTAACCAAAATGCTTCAGACCAGAAGCATATATATAATGTTTGCATGTATATAATGTTTGCATATATATAATGAGATATCTTGGGGATGGGACCCAAATCCAAACCTGAAATTCATTTATGTTTCACATATACCTTATACACATAGCCTGAATATAATTTTATATAGTATTTGTAGTGTATCTGTATTTTAACTGTAACCTGTCATATGAGGTCACTGCAGAATTTTCCACTGGTCTCGTGTCAGCATTCAAAAAGTTTTGAGTTTTGAATTTTCAGATTAGGGATGTTCACCTGTACCATAATTTCATTAACTGTTTTGGACCATTCACCCAATAAAGGTTGTTTTAGTTTTTTGTTGTTGTTTTTGTTTGTTTTGGGTGTTTGGTTTTTGATTTTTGGTATTTTTGCTATTACAAATAAAATTCCTGTGAGTATTTGTGTACAGGTTTTTCTCTATTAACATAATAATATATATTAGTGGGGTTCATTGTGATATTGCAGCACATGCATATAATATGTACTGATGAATCCCTTTATCCACCCCATGACCTCCCTACCACTCCACCTACATCTTTTTATGTAAATATAAACTTCCGTTTCTCTGAGATCAATGCCCCAAGAGCCCAAACATTGGGTTATTTGGTGATTGCATGTTTTAGTTTAACAAGAAACTGCCAAAGTTTTTTTACAGATAGGCTGCACCATTTTACATCACCATCGGCAGTATATCCGTAGTATTTTGGGGTAGCTATATGATAGTTAATTTAAACCAGATTTCTATATACTATATTCTCATGCTCTACTTTTTTTACTATATTTGGATTTAGGTTCCTGAAGGTCAAATATACATTAAATATTTTAAAAAATCTAATTACACATTTAATTTTTTTTAATCTATTAACCAAGCACTCAGGAGGCTGAGGCAGGACAGTAGTGAGTTTGAGGCTAGCCTCACTCACTGCCTACACTCACTACACTAGCTACGTAGTGTGATCTTGTCTCAAAAAAAAGATATATGTACATATATATGTGTGTGTGTATATATATGTGGTTTTTTTTCTTTTTCATTCAAGAGAGAGTTAGGCCCACAGATTCCTTTTGTTCTATTTATCAGCCAGGAGCATTCAATATGATAGCTACCTCCCCTTTCATTTTTGAATCTTGAGGTTAAGGATTCTTACGTTGCTAACTCAAAGTTGTTGTGCAGCCCAAAGGTAGCATGTACCAGAAAAAAAATGCTTTAAGAACCGTAAAGGCTGGGCGCCAGTGGCTCATGCCTGTAATCCTGGCTACCTAGATCAGGAGGATTGAGGCTCCAACCCAGCCTAGGCAAATAGTTCATGAGACCCTATCTCAAAAAAAAAAAAAAAAACCACAAAACAGGGCTGGTGGAGTGGCTCAAGGTATATGCCCTGAGTTCAAACTGCAATACCGCAAAAAAAATATAAAGTACTGCCCATTGGAAGATGAGTGTGACAAGCCATAGATTCTCAGCCTTTTAACAACAGCACCAATGATGGATAGATGTGTAAACATTCAAAATTCAAATGCATACTTAGGGACATGTATCCTCTAATGCAAATAGTGCTGATACCTTTATTATTCCTTTAGTTCTTACATACTTTTAAAATCCATTTTTTTCAAGGCATGGTGGCACATGCCAGTAATCCCAACACTGGGAAGGCTGAGGCAGGAGGGTCTCCAGTTCAAGGCCAGGCTGGGCTACAGAGCAAGATCCTGTCTCAGTGAAATTCTGCTTTTAGGCCAAAATTTAAAAACTAAATACTGAGATTTGGGTATTTTAGAAGTCATGTGATTACCTAGAAATAGCCCAAATTCATAATCAA